CACCTGTGCCACAAACAACACCCGAAGGTGTTCCAGAATTCCATGCAAAACAGCTCCCATATTTTCCTGCAGCAGAGAGGCTAAATATGTAGACAGGGTTCCTCTAAAGTGAAATTAAAATAATTTTACCATTTAATTCTACCAGAGTTCCCATGGTATTTCTGGCATGCTCATATAAAGCTTTTATTTGAAACAAATATCCACAGATGTGAAGATTACCTTTTCAGAACCCATAAGTATTTTCTAAACCCTCACTGTAACCCAGGTCTCTGTCACCTTCAAACCTTTCTGTGTATCATTTAAGGTGTTTGCAGATACTTCTTTCTTTGGGGGTACTGTGTCTTAGCCATGTTTCAACACTTCAGACACACTGTGCAGCCTCTGCCAAGTCATCACCCAGGGGAAAAACATAATTCCTATTCCAAATACCTTTCCTCAGACACTCAGAGTAATTCACTGATATCCCTTGGAATGTGTGAATCTCTACATTCATCTGAAGTCTTTATATGTGAAAGGAGTCAATGTAGAAGCAAAGAGTAGGAATTTGTTTTATAAGGAACTGAATCTCTGTGTTGAATACTGTCTGCTTTCAAAGATAGGTAAAAATCTTAAATAAACTCCTAATGATTCAGGATCATGTAATACATTTGCCCTGAAATGTGTACTTGTGTTTCTATGTCAGCCATTAATTTGGGAATTGTTACAAGGTTTTAACAACTTTTTTTACATTTCCAATAAACAAGAGCTCATGATGGCAGATAGCTTTTTCTGCCTGGTATTGTTTTATTAGTGCAATAGCCTTATAGCAATGACTCATCACTGGTTTATTGGCAACAAAGCAAAGGACTGTAGTCAAAATCGTGTCCGATTGTGACACTGGTAATTTATAAAGCTGAGCGCCTCTGATTTTGTGGCACAAAAGCCATCAGCTGGGTCCGTCACTCACCATTTAATAGATGCCGATTTCCTTGCCTTCGTGGAGTTTTTCCAGACAATGAGGAGGAGTCAAGATTTCCATTTTCACTCATAGGTGCTGAGGTATGGCTGGCTGTACCTCAGTGGAATTTCATTTCCATGTGTATGCTTGTAGCTGTGAATCATAGCTCGGGAAATAGGAAAGCATTTTGTGATAGTACCTATTACCAAGGTCCTTTGGCTGCTGTAATTAATTCAACCGTCACTTCCCTCTAAAGCTGGCCAGGTAACCCATAACCTACCAGTTTGCTCTTGCTGATAAAAGCTTTTCGTTTTTCTTTTAACTTTCCATGCTTCCTCAAATCAGCCTTGCTTTCTTCTTCCTTTCAATACTGTGTACCTGAACTTAAGACTATTACATGGTCTGAAAGCTTTGAACATCAGTGCTGTGATCAGCCATTAAAGCAGTCCAATTTCCACTTTGTTCAAATAGTGCTTTTCTGACTTGTCTGGAGAAAGTGTCTGCCAATTCACTTTTTTTTTCTTTTCTTATCAGCAAAACACATATATACTGTGCTCTTGTAGCTTATTATAAAACACAGGGGAAATCCCTGAACAATCAGAAAACCAGCTAGAAAACTTGCCCAGGCTCTTCTACCAAACATTCACTTTGTCTGCCGTCAAATGGAAAGCAAGTCAACAGATCACTGATATTACAGGTGCCTGACTCTGAGAATTACCAGAACATGATAATGGCCTTGTTTAAACAAATACTTAGGAAGCTCTGCTTCTTAGGAATCATGTTGCCCCCAAGTACCCCCAGTCCTGTTTACAGGCAGATACTGGGACAACAGTAAGGAAAATATACTGGAGAAATTCTTGGTGACACTACAGGGGTGCAAAACCTGCTTAGCAAATGTGGCAGTTTTCCTATTTGCCATGTGCAGGGCTGGTTGATACCCCAAAGTGCATGCCTTACCTAAATTTTCATTGAAGAACAAGATCTTTTTTTGTATTGGATTGCCCTGGTCTATTCCATATTGCCTCCTGTGTTTGTTGGAGGCTTGATCACAGGGAAGATGTGCAAGAAAGAAAGTTTTCCATGTATTTCCACACAAGCAACGGCACACACCATCTTCACAAAGACATGTTTTCAGGATCTACTTTATCGCCAACATGCTGCTTAGAATGTAAGCGAAAACTTCCATGGCATGAGGGCCTGGCCTAGGCCACCTGGAGCTGGTTGCTCCCACTTATAAGCTCCATGATCCTAAGCAAGTAACTTAATCCCTCTCTTAATCCATGCCTTAAATTAGGAAAATGGCTAATTCATCTAGTGGAGTCCAAATAATTTCATACTTGCCAACCCACAACAGGGTCTGGTATCTAGGACATACTCAATGTTGGCAGTAATGTTTACTATCTTTATTTTTACAATCCAGTTAACAGAGAGAACATAAAAATTTATGCAGAACTGTGTGATGCAGATTATGCATACATAATTGCTGTAGAGTCACAGGAGAAAATTATATAAGCTATAAAACTGTCATTTGAACTGACTGGAGCATGGTCCTTTATTCTTCGATTTTTGTAATCATTCTTTTGAATCAAACTCCAGATCCCTCACTGGAATGAACATAAAAGAAGGGTTTGTCCTCTACCTTGCTGGAGAGCCCAGCAACCAGCTTTGCTGACAGCTAAACAAAAGGAGACTGCAGACTGGGATGTTCAGTGCTGAGGAGTCTTGGCATAGTTGTTCTTATACATGCTTTGGGTGTGGTTAAGACTCTCAGCACTGACCATGGGAGTAATAGAATGGCTAAGAATATAATTCATAGCGTAGAATTGTGGAGATGCCATGGAAAGTGATACAGGCATTGAAGTAAGTTACCCCTGCCTCATGGAGTCTTCAGTGAGGACCAAAGTATACTAAAGAAAGCATAAGAAGCTCCCATTGCACTTCACATTTGGCTCCAGGCAAAGCTTCAGATGCAGAAGGAAATGGCAGTTATATCACAGAGACATTTCATCAGCATTCTAGAAGCTAGAAGATAATATCCTGGTCCAGAGCCTACGTCACCAGGAGACTGTAGACAATGGACTTCTCTGCCATTACAACTTTCCTGTCTAATCAGTAAACATGCACAGCCACACCTTTCCATCATGTAACAAATAGTGACCAAAGATGGGGAAAACCTGCACAGATGTTTGGAAAACTGCAAGGTGCTGCACAATCGTTTATTGGTATCATGGCAAGGAAAGAAACAAAGAGGACATCCAAGCTGGGGGAACCTGTGTGCATAAAGGAGAGAAGCAGGGAGCTGATTTCCTTATGAAGATGAGTTTGTGATGTTACCAAGTGTATGTCTCTGGGACAGTGTTTGGCTCAGTGAAGCCTGCAGCAGAAAAGAAGGCTTAGAGTCTCTTTAAACTAATTATTTGCAAAATTATTTTAAGGGCCAGAGAGATGGCTTAGCAGATAAAAAATACTTGCTGTGCAAGCCTGATAACTGGATTCAATCCTCCAAAACCCACAGTAGGAGAGAACTAACTCCCAAAAATTGTCCTGTGACCTCCACTGACACTCTCTCTCTCTCTCTCTCTCTCTCTCTCTCTCTCTCTCTCTCTCTCTCTCTCACACACACACACACACACACACACACACACACACACACATTCACACACATATTGAATGTGTGTAACACAATGATGACTTACAAATATTAGTGTGTAAATATTTTATTGTAGCTGAGTATTTTGAATTGCAAAAGGCATTATATAGTCACAAATAAGTAATTATGTGGCCAGCAATGGGCCTCTTGGGGAGAGGAAGAGGAATTTACTTCAATCTATTATTTATTCATATTGACAGTCTGCTCAAACCTTATCATCCTTTCCTTGGAGTTAATATAGTATTATATTTGTTTACAACACATATTTTGCTGAGAAGAGCAGTGATCTATTTCTATAGTACTTGTCAGAATGTAGGTCATTAGGAGGCTGTTAATAATGCCTTCCTAAACACCTGAGGACATCTTCCTACTGCAGGAAAGACAGGGACATTTTTCTGGGAGGGGTAGACTCCTGTATGTCATGGGGTCAATGGTTATTTGCAGAAATGTCTACATATTTTTATTCCAAAAGCAAGTTTATCTCATTCATTGGACTTTGCAAAGGCTTATGCGCTGTCTGAGGGTTTCTAACTGTGAAGAGACACCATGACCACAGCAACTCTTATAAAGAAAACCATTTGATTTGGGTTGACTTACAGTTTCAAAGATTTAGTCCATTATCTTCATGGTGGCATGCAGGCAGACATGGTGCTGGAGAAGGAGCTAAGTGTTCTACATTTGATCCACAAGTAACAAGGAGTGAACTGTGTGCCACATTGGACATAGCTTGAGCATACAAGACCTCAAAGCCTGCCTCCACAGTGACACACTTTCTTCAACAAAGTCACATGTAGATGTAACCAACCGTCTTATTAAATAAGAAACACAGAAACAATGTAAAAGAGAAAGCCGAGAGGTCAGAGCTCAGAGCCAAAATCTCACCCTTCCTCCTGCTGTCCCAGCTTCGCAAAAGAGGGCTACTTCCTGTCTGTACGCCTTTTTTATAGTATTATTGTTCTGCCTTCTCATTGGTTGTAAACCCAAACATGTGACGGCCTCGTCACTGTCTGAATGTACAGCCCCCTAGGTCTTAAAGGTATATGTCTCCAATGCTGGCTATATCCCTGAACACACAGAGATCTATGGGATTAAAGGCGTGTGCCACCACCGCCGCACTCTTGCTATGGCTCTAATAGCTCTGACCCCCGGGCAACTTTATTTATTAACATACAATCAAAATCACATTTCAGCACAATTAGAATACCACCACAGTCACACCTACTCCAACAAGCCACATCTCCTGATAGTGCCACTCCCTAGCGGGGGCATTTTCCTGATAGTGCCACTCCTTAAGGGGGGCATTTTCTTTCAAACAATCACACACACTAGTTATCAGAAGGGGAATGGGTGGGTGGCATCTGATTGAATTAAACCTCACAGGCTTTCTAATTGGAAATATGCTTCTTATTTTAGGTATTAAAGTTTGAGCCTGGCCATTTCAGGAGAAGGGGCAAAGCTAAGAATATGGCTCTCGTAGATATCCAGTTGGATCACCATGAGCGGTGTGACTGTATCTGCAGCTCAAGGCCACCTCGATAAGACTCTGTGCACATTTATACATGAAGAATGAAAAGACCTTTGGGTTAAGACATGGTAAGGGACCCTTGTCCCACCCTAAGCAATCAAAGTTGCTTCTCAGCTACAATGCAGTGAATACAGGTGGAAAGCTCGCTTTGTTAATGCCATGGCAAGAAGCATATATTGTCAACTTCTATATCTATAAATATAGGAATTCATTTATTAATCGCATGTGAAGATATGTATGTATACCCACACACATGTCTATCTCTATGTGTGTAAACAAATGAAATACTTTATTCAGTATATTTACTGAAATCCACCAGAGAAAAATGATTTGATTATTGCTCAATAATTTTGCTAAAATAAGGAATGTGTTAAACATATAAAACACATCTTTAAGAAATTCAGAATATAAATTTCTTTTGAAACATTGATTCACAAAACATATCACGTCTTGCTCTTTTAAAGAAAGCATGTGTCCATTAAACAGAAGGTGAAACTTTCTTATGTATATGTCTTAATAATATGGAAGAAAATAAAGTTTCTGGGGATAAAACCAAATATTTAACGATTTTCTACATGAGATGCACTACACACGCACAAATGTGGACAATAATTTTTTTCTCTAAAAAAAACCCACAAAAGTAATACATGGTTGTTAAAAAATCAAATCAAGTCCTCTTTTATGTATTTTGTCAAAGCAAGCTAACCTGTTGAGCACCTTTCTCAATGAATTGCTTAGGGAGTGTTGTGATAGTCCTTTAAGAGGCAAGAAATAGGTTACAGCAGAATTTTCAATTTTTTTCTCTTTCTAAAATCTGCAGAAAAGCGAGTGTTTTCAGGAATAGCATGCCATTACTCCTGAGCCTTTCAACATGGTATTCACAGGAAAATGTGGGTGATAGAAAGTCAGAAATAAGCAAATACTGACATAACCGGGAACATTTAAAAATGGGTATAAGTTCTCGAAACTGTGTCAATCATTTTCTGTTTTGCTTTTGTGTTCCTATCTTTTCAATACGTACATGTAGTCAAATGTCATGTTTTATCAGACAAGCCATCCTGGAATATTTATAGCCTAAAAGCTTTTATGTATTAACAAAATAACTAACTTTTATTAATATAAATTCCTAATCCTATACTTAAGATTCTGAATCTATATTCTGAATGAGCGAAAATTTAGATATGAGGTTTCCTATCCTTCTAAATCTTCAGACCTTACTTATAGAGCCAGCAATAGTTGTGGAGGAACACATCTGGTCTTTCTTTTTCCACCGGAAAGCTTTTTGTACTGGTTACTAGGAACGAGAGTCAGTTTTCCTCAGTGGCTCCCCTATATCTATGCTAAAGAGACCAAGTCCAGAAACAGGAAGTCATTCATCACTCTCCAAAGCAAGATGCTTAGGAGGGAACATTAAAGTCAGGTTAGCCTGGGCTGCTCTCAGGGAACTACGTTCTTCTTCCTGCCTTGGGAGTAGAAGAGAAGTGATTTCTTCTGTGAATCCGGTGTGTCCTGAGCACAGACCGGTTTGGTACATGATTTGTGCACGATCTGCTTTAGTCCAGTGTCACCCTCCAATCCAAGTTACAGCTGTGCTCAACATTATTGTAACATGTCTTCTAAAGGTTCTGTGCAATTATCTATCAGTTTCTATTCAATGATCATTAGAATCAAATACTGCATTGTCCGGTTGTCCAGAATGACAGAGAATAATGAGAAACAGGCCAGGCCCACAGTCAGGAGCCACTTTCCCTCCATAACCACTTGCAAGCTTCCTGTGAAACAATGGCTTCCTGTACCAAAACCAAGCTATAGTTTACTGTAGGCACAGGGCACAGCTCACACCATAGTTGTGAACATGAAACACTAGAGCGTTCGACCCGATTTTCAATAAACCTTCCAGGATGTAATAGCGAGTTAAAGCCTTACCCTTCTCATCCTCTTATTTACTAGCTACAGTGTGAACAGACAGATACGCTGAGGCTACTACCTTTCTTGAATGTTTTATTAAACTTGGTAATCTGTTACCTATTCCACATTCAACATGTAGCAAATAAATCTGTTTCATTGCCATCAAAAGACTAAGAATAAAAAACAAACCACTGTACAAATTACATTTCAAAACAAACTAATAAATACACAGCTCTGCATAGCTCACTACCTGGAATAATGCCATTCATTCAACATGTTCTTATAGGGAAGAACACTTTCATAAGTGGAGGGTTGTTACGATTTTTTTGTCATTTCAGTAACATGCAGCTTTTCCTCTCACAGCATTTTCGATAGAAATATAATATGGCTCTTTTCTTCATTTAAAAAAAAATAGTGCCTTGAACAAAACAGCTCCATTATTTAGTACTGAATTGCAGTTTTAAAAGATGTGCAAAATTACCAAGGCACTTTAACAAACGCATCTAACTGTAATGACAAGATGAGTGATTGCTGAGAGGACTGAGCACCTGCTCCTAGCCCAGAAGCCTTCGTGCTCCCTGCCTCACAGCTGAGGTGGGGGTTGCTCATTCATGTCTCTTTGCTAGTGGTGTTGCATTTCTCTGTTTCCTGCCCCAGTCAGCCTTTCAGTGAATTCTCCTCTGACATTGCCCACCTACAAAAGTTCCCATCCTTTCTCTTCCTTGAGGTCTTAAATTAAGACCATCACAGCCTCACCTTCCTTTCCCCTCCCTTCCATATGCCTCTGGCTGGAACAGATGGTGGGTCACTGCTACCCACTCAGGAGCCAAGTGAGGTCTCTCCCCCTGAAGGAGCATAGACCATGACCACAAAGAGTGGTCTCTTATGATCAAGAACACTTGCTTCCAAGTTAGTCTTTATTAGCATCCTGTCAGAGACAGAATAGCAGCTGCAAAGATTTGAGGGAAACCTTGCTTCTAGCTTGATGACTATAGAAGTTTAGAGAATAAATACATACAGAAATATATGTGTTATATGACAAGAATCAACTTTATCAACAGAAATATGAGCCAATGTGTTAGCCAAGGGGTTGGAATGGGGAAAAGATTAAACAGTACTGTGTGTGGTAGTAAATTCAGATAGCTTGGGTTTTATGTAAAGCATAATGAAAACTATATGCAAAGCCTTTAGCATAAATGCATTAAGAATTTAATTTCATCTCCTAAAATGTACATGTGTACAGTTTTACTCTACTACTAACCCGACATCTAAATGGCTCATATTTACACGGGGTCTTCTGGTACATCACTAAATTAAAATTCATAGATTAGTATTCATTTCTGAATTGCTAGAAAATACATTTTTTTTGTTTATTGGCATCCCTATCATATATGCTAGAAAATAGAATATTTATAATGCATTGGCTTTATTGATATTCACTCCAATTCTGTTGTTTTTAAAGATCAAGCTGAACACTTCAGAGATCTACAAATATAAAAGAGCCCCCTGAGATGTGTCAAATAAAATAGACATTTTTGGGTAAGCGAGTTGTTTGTTTCTTGCTGTTGGAGGTATATTTTCTTTTATTGAAAATAGATTTTATTCATGCAATATTCTGATTGCAGTTTCCTCTCCCTCTTCTCCTCCCCATTCTTGCCTACCTCCCACTTCTCATTCAGCTCCACACCCTTCTTCTCTCTCCTTAGAAAACAAATAGGCATCCAAGGGAAAATAATAAAATTAAGTAAAATACAATAAAATAAAACAAAAACAAACAAATCAGAATGGGACAAAACAAATAAAAAAAGGAAAAGAGTTAAAGAAAAGGCACACTCACACATGTAGACACAGACACACACACTCACACACATAGGAATCCTATAAAAGCACAAAACTGGAAGCAATAATGTATGCACAAAGGACCTACACTTTTTTTTTAAAAGAATGCCTTGACTCAATGTTATGAGACAAAGAATCTTCAAAGATAATTCTGAGTTCATTTTTTATTGACTATCTACTGCTGGACATGGCCTACCCTTAAGAGTAGTACATTTCCCCAGTGAGACTCCTCTGGAGAACACTAAATTTTCATTTGCAAGTAGTTATCAGCTAGAGACAGCCTCTGGGTTAGGGATGGGGTCACATATCCACCTTTCTTCTCAACTCTGGGACCCCATCTTGTCCAGGCCCTGTACATGCTGTCGCACAGTCTCTATGGTTTTATATGTGCATCATGTGCATTATATGCGCATATAAAACATCATGCAGTGTTTAGAAGGCATTGTTTCCTTGGTGTCCTCCACCCCGTCTACCTCTTCTTCTCAAAACTGAGAAAGGAAATATTTGATGGGGACATCCCATTAGGGCTAAGTGTGACAAGGTCTCTTAATTTATGCACATTGTCTCCCTATAGGTCTCTAAAACTTTTATCATGAAGAGGTACTGGATTTTGTCAAAGGCCTTTTCTGCATCTGATGAGATGATCATGTGAATGTTTTTCTTTCAGTTTATTTAAGTGGTGGACTACATTTATCAAATAACATGGTTGAATCATCCCTGCCTGCATCTCTGAAGACTGCTTGATCATGGTGGATGATCTTACTGATGTGTTCTTGTATTTGGTTTATAAATATTTTTGCATCTGTATTCACATGGGAAGTTGGTCTGTAATTTTCTTCCTTTGTTGGGTCTTTGTGTGGTTTAAGTACAGGGTAATTGTGGCCTCTTAAAAAGAATTAAGCGGTGTTCCTTCTGTTTCTATTTTGTATAATAATTTAAAGAGTATTGGCATTAACTCGTCTTGAAAGTCTAGTAGAATTCTGCACTAACATGGTCATTTGGGGTGGTAAACTTTTAATTTCTGTTTATATTTGACTAGGAGTTATAGATGTTTTTAAATTTGGTAAGGTACAGGTTTTTAAAGTATGATCCTACAGTTCTCTGGATTTCCTCGGTGTCCGTTATGTCCCCCTTTTCATCTCTTATTAATTTGGATCTTCTCTCCACCTTTTAGTCAATTTGGTTAAGAGTTTGTCAGTCTTATTAATTTTCTCAGAGAAGCAAGTATTTGTTACATTGATACTTGTAATTTTTGTTGTTGTTGTTTCTTTATTATTGATTTCATCACCAAATGTGATTATTTCTTGTCACCTACTACTTTTGGGTGTGATTTGTTGTTGCACTGTGGGTTCCTATCCCCTCTTTTGATTTGCTGCTCCGGTATTATTTAGTCCTTGTGTGTTCTTGGGTAGAATTAACCTCTTCAGGTTGAAGTTTTCCTTCTTGTGCTTTTTGTCAGGCTGGAATGTAAGAGATAATTGTTTAAATTTGTTTTGTTGTAGACTATCTTTCTCCATCTATCATGATTGAAAGTTTTTTCTGGGTATAGTAGTCTGGGCTGACTTCTGTGTTCTCTGAGTGTGCTGCACATCTGTCCAGGCACTTCTGGCTTTTAGAGTCTCCCTTGAGAAGTCAGGTGTAATTCTGATAGGATGTTACTTGGTCTTTTTCTTTTGCAGGTTTTAATACTCTTTCTTTGTTCTGTGCATTTAGTGTTTTGATTATTATGTCCTATGGAGAATTTCTTTTCTGCCTGTCACATTCACACTCCATCCATTTCTCACAACCTTCTACTTGCCAATCTTGAAGTCAGAGAAAGCTGGATGCCTACTTTGAAGACCACTGAAGGAAGGGATCATGTAAGCAGATTACATGCACAGTTACCCAAGTGAGCAATTAACAGGGCAAAATGCCAACTGTTTCTAATAGAATAGTGCTCCTTGAGAGTGAGCACATTGTATAAACATTTTCTAGTGTCATACACTTCGTTGCACACTTCTGATTGTGATGCTGATATTTATTTGTGTCTACTGATGTTATTTTTGTTCATTCATTCATTCAATAAGAAATTCTTTGTAACCTATTATGTATCTGACATACTTTTGAGTTCAAATCCAAGTCTAATCCATAACTGAGGAAAAAACAGGAGGAAGGAGTTCTAGGTCGGGTGAGTGGAAAGATCAAAAATCCCCCCTGGGGGGAATGTATGGTGAAAACAAGGTTAATCTTCAAAGAGGACAAAGACTAAATCCAAAGAGTTTCACAGAGTAAAGTGGCAGAAAAGGAAGGAACAAGATCTGTAGTGGAATGCTTGGCTAGCAGCTTTGACTGGTGAGTACCACATTAGGTATGTCTCACCCAGGTGACTAGAGGGTGTTTGTTCTTCCACACTAGGGAGGAAGTGGTGAGCTTCTAAGTATTTAGGGCCCATAATAGTCATCAAGAGCTAGTCAGATGCTAGAAGGCTTGCCACAGTGTGGGCCTGTGTTTCTTCGCTTAAAACTTGGATACATAAGATGTGTCAGTCCCAGCAAAACAGTTCAATGATCTTGCTTTTTGGAAAATAACAGTCTGTGGGAAGAATCAGAGATGTAAGGTACAGAGTGTTTGGGAGCTCTAGGAGAGAGACATCTGAGCCAGGAAGGTGTGTGTGTGTGTGTGTGTGTGTGTGTGTGCACGAGCTCCCCAAATCCTCCAGGGAATTCCGTCCCTAATAATTATGAGGACCAGGAAGGCTAATAGGAAAATCCAGAGACTTTGGTGACAAGCTGGGAAAGGCAGAACAGGCCTTGAGGTATCCTGGATGGAGTCATGTGAATTAGATGCCAAAAGCATTCTCCTAGGAGCACCAGGAGTACAAATGATAATGCAATTTTGAAAGCACGTCATTCAGGAGAGGAGCCAAGACATGCTGCCATCCTTATAGTGGCCACAAGAATGCAGAGGACAATGACAACCAAAGAGCTCATGAACGCATAACCTTGTGTTCCGAGAGCACAGTAAATACTCAGTGAGGGTTGGCTGAGTGCCTAGCCCTGTGCTAGACAGAACAGAGTCATAAAACACAAAACATGCATCCTTTGCTTTATCAACCCAGAGCAGGGAGGACAGATTAAACAAACAATTACATAAGTGATCAGAGGACAGGGAAGGATTCCTTGAGAAAACAATGTTAAAACAGGAGCAGAAAGATGAATCAACAGTAGGTAAATGTGAAAGGAAAGATGTGTTAGAAATTAAAAGAAAATGGCTGAAGAAATCTTTGGACTAATTAATGAAGCAGAGTTGGTGATGCATTTGAATGAGGCCAAGGAAGATCATGGATTGTTTGAAGGCTTCTGACTGAGCAGATAGACTCACCATGTGCTTTGATGAGAACAGGGAAGAGGTGTGGCATGATAGATAGAGAGCACACTGTGAGGTATCAAGGTAGACAGCCTTTGATATGTCCAGGTGGAGATATTAAGTGGACAGTTCAGCGGTGAGTCTGGAACTCAGGAATCCAGGATGAGAGGTTAAGTTTAGAAGGGACCAGCATGTGTGTAAAGGCCACAGGAGTAATCTCAGTGACCAGCATGTGTG